CTGGGGCGCTCCGCGCCTCGGTGGCCTCTGCATTTACCCCCTCGCCGGCCGCATCGTTTGCATCTTCCACGATTTCTTTGGTGGTGTTTGTTACCTGAAAACAACTTGACTTTCAGCGATGCCAAGTATTCAACTTGAGTATTTATTTCTCTGCGGTGGGGCATTGGTGTGCACAGTGCTAGCCTTTGCCTTTTGATGGCTCCTGATGCCTTTGGTTTGCCTGTGTGCCGTTGGGGCGCTGTCGCTGGCTTGAGTGAGTTGTATAACTCTGTTTTATTTAGGTGGATGTTGCCCTTGCTTGGTACCGCACCGTGTTAGGGCGACACAGAGACGAAGGAAGTGAGGAGTGGCTTACAAATACCGCTTCTTCTGTGTAAGGAATGTAAACACTTTAAAAATATATCTAACCACCCCCTCCTACTTTGCATCCAGCAGGTCCTGAAGGCATTTTCCATGTGCTACCTCATGAGCTGTTCTGTAGAGTTTTATAAGAGAGATTGATGGACAGTGAGAGGAGTACGGTCTGGGTTTTCAGATGTGAAAACGGAGGCGAAGAGCTTGTTCTTTGCTAAGCTTAAAGGCACACGGATTAAGAGCTTTAACCCAAAGCTTCCTGGATTCCCTTGTCTGGAGGCCACTCAGCAGTATAATGGAAAATGCAGGAGCCCCCTCCCTGAGACTGTACAGATCAACTGAAAACCAGAGAGGTTGAGCCTATCCGGTTAGTCCTGCAGGCTCCATGCCGGGGACTCAGCTTTGCCATTAAGTCACAACTTCTCCCGTGCTTTACCCCTTGGCTCTTTAAAACAAGGGGAACAAAGGTTCTGTATTCTTTGCAACGTTAAGTGAGGCTAGCTGGAAGCTTCCCTACCTTGAATGATCTCTGGGGTCCCTTTAGACGCGTAGGAAATGAGGTTCCCCTGCAACACCCCCCCCTTCCAGGCACCCTTGAGAATTCACATCAGGGGTAGGCTAGGGTGGGGGACGCGCCCCTCGCCCTCTGCCCTGGACTGAGAGGAGAGCGTTGGCAGGCAGGTGAAGGTATGAAGGAATTCTGCATGAGGCAGCTTGACACATAGGCCCTCTTCCTGCCTCCAGCTCTGACTCATCTTCTGACGCTTGGGGGAGGAGAGGTAGTCGCTTGATATTTTTGTCTTTCTCCCATAAAACGAGAGTCAGTGTTCCTCATTCCAAGTCTGTTGAACGCCAGTGTCTGCTGAGTTCTCGTCTGGCATCTTGCGTACTGGTTGACAGCAGGTATGGATTTTTGAATATTCTTAGTAGAATGATACAAATGTGTATTTGTATTATAGAAAACTAGTCAGGCTTATGAGTCTAGGCTAGGGAATCCATTGGATCCAACTGTAGCATTTTTAAGAGATGTGTTAAAGGGAGGGATCTGTGTTTGTTGGATTCTATTGTACTTAGAAGTTTAAAGCGAGGTGCATTAAAAATTATGCATTTTCCCAGTATTATAAGAAACGCTCTAATTGTTCTGTGTGAAACATTTATAGATTCACTGATTAGAGCCTTCTTTTTGAGCATCTTTCCTAAAAGTAACAGCCTTATGTGTATCAGATTGTGTATATTCTTTTAGACTCTTTAATAAATGTCTACTTTAGGACATGTCTACTTGCAAAAGATGTTTTTTTAGAGGAAATTATTTTTAAATTGACCGGCCTTGTTCATAGAGATTTTGCTTCTTTCCTGAACAAGTAGCATGTGATTTAAGTACAACTGGCTGTAAAGTTTTATCAACCTTGATAGCATGATATTTATTAACCCTGATTACATAGTATTTCCCAGCACAACGGGCAATTGCAGACTCCTTTAAAACAGTTTTGAAGCAGTTGAATGGTTAGGATCTCAGCCTTTAATCTCAATTGCAATTGAAGATTTAACCCAGTTAGAAACCAGAAACTCCAGGACTCTCTGGGTCTTCATCTTTGCTTATAAGGAGGCACCCAAGGCCTGGAGAGTTGCTAAAGCAACAGCTGCCGGGGTGTAAACTTACAGAGCTAACATTTAAGGTGGCGGCTTTAGTTATTTATGAAAGCTTCTGAGGGGGGTGGGGAGAGACAAAGGATGTTTATGTGGGCACAGTTCATTATCAGTAATCTCAGGAACTGCATGAGCTAGAAAAAAACTGTGTCCGGAGTTGATGGATTTATTTATTCGGGGTTCTTTGGGGACCTGGACTGCGCTAAAGGTACGCCACTGAACACTGGGAGGGAAGGTCCCTGACCTGTAAAGAGGATGTGCTTTCTCCAGGGGGACTAGACTTGTAATGGTTCTCAGTTCCTGGACACCAACCCTATATTGACCTCATCTTTTAAAATTATGGTTTTTAATACACGAGAGGGTAGGAAACATGAATGGACAATGTAATGAATTATTCTGAAGTCAACCGGGAGTGTACCATCTTGCAGTTCAAGAAATACTTCACCCTCCTCCCCCTGCCACTCTACCCTAGTGACAACCTGTCTACCTCCCAAGAGGTAACCTAGCTAGGTAAACTTACAGTCACTTTTAGGGGAATCATTTTCAGTCCTCTGAATATCAACCTCTAAACAGGATAGCTGTTCTTTTCCTCCCTTTTTAAAACCTTTATGCCAGTAGATCAATTATAGGGATTCTTTTGGATTCAATTTTTTTTTTGGCCTTTAGATCAACATATTTGTTTCTTTCAGGTTCAGTTTTCTTATTTTCATTTATTTGGTTTAAGTTCCTGTAGCATTACATTTTAAAGATTGATTTATGTTCTTGCCTATAACTGTGGTTCGTTTTTGTATGGACATACCACGCTATTGATCTGCCCCCTCAGTGGGTGTGGTTTGGGGCAATAAGGTCGTCAGACTGCATCAGATGGACCTGCCGTCATCGTCGTCATCTTTTGTGCGGACGCCTGTTCTCCAAAGGGGTTGTTCCATTTAAATTACTCCAGTGTGTCAGCCTTGAATTTATAACCCACTGGCTTTGTTGTTTAACCACAGCGTGCTAGGATGTTTCGTGAGTGAATGAATAAAGTAAATGTCACTTGGGTGGTCTGATCCACAGGAGTTTCAGTGTATTTGTGCTTAACTGTCTCACTTGGACCAGCCTACTACCCAAATGCCATGGAGATGGTTTTCCCCAGGGTTTGTTTGCAAACTGCCCACTAGGATCCTTCCGGTTGCTCCTTGTGAAATAGACAAATGATTATAGGGAAGTTTAAATATGCAAAATAAAATGCTAAGATATAAAGCATGGATTACCTTAGACGTGTTTTAAAGGTCTTGAGTTAATGTCACCTTGGAGCCTCCTGGATTGCCTTAACTTGGTGGGTCTGTATTGTGCTCCTGAGTGCTTGCCTTGGACCCAGTCCCCAAGGTGCAGGCCAGGAGTGCTGGCTTAAGTGTGTGTGTGTATGGGGTGGGGTGGGGGCAGGAACCCAGACCAGTCCTGGTTAAATTACATTACCTCCGGAGGCTGGAGACTCGCACACTTACACGCATGCCGCTTATTTCCCAAGAGGCAGTGAGCGTACCTCATGACTCAGAATTCCTCAGCAATTCCCAAGTAGCCACAGCACCTCTGTGTTGGGAATGACCATTTTTACAAACTGGAAAATGAGCTTGAACCTTTTCTCCCAATATTCCTTTGTTTGTGACAGTACATACGGTTTAGACTTTGGTTTGCTTTTTGAGCAGGCTTTTGTGAGGTTTTGTGAATTAATTGAACTCATGTGCCGTTTTGCTGGCTGGATTTACCTATATAGGCTGGAAACCTATATAGACACTACATTGAAATATGTGCTGTGTAGCTACTGTGTGCTAACAGCCCACTTCTGTCTTTAGAGAATCATGTGCTACCCCTCTGTTGGCCTCCACAGTGCCTTCAGGGAGATCATTAGCAGAAGGGCAAGGGAGGAATCATAGCCCCACAACTAGGAGGCCGCTCGGGACTCCTTTTTTCCTCTTCTGTACTTCTCTACAGCATCTTGCAAAATGGCTACAATACCCCCCCCCCAAGGTTCTCAAATGCATTACTTTAATAAAACTACTTATACATATAAATGAGAAGTTTTTAAGAAAAGCTACCCCCAGGAAAAGATAGGCAGATCCCAGTATGCATCCGGGGGTGGCGGGTGGGGTGGGGGGTGGCTGTGAGAAACCCTGTTTGTGTTTTTGATAGCCTGGGGCTTCCAGTTATCCACCAAGCAGCTCCAGTTAACAACCTGTTATAGGAACAGGAGCCTGGGTGCCAGGGTCATGGCCAGGCCCTGAGGCCCACGGCCCACACAGTTCACCCACACACTGGCTTCCCAGTGTCACTTGCAAACTGCCCGAGTGACCATCTGCCCTGTTTGGTCACCCTTTCCATACCCTTTGCCATCCTGAAGTCTGAGTGACCAGAAAAGTTCTTTGAACATTTATGTGCAACTGCGGACCTTGTTTCTGTCCCCGCGTCCTTTCACCAACAACGCTGACAGCAGATATTTTTCAGACTTGTCTTTGAGTTTGTGGGTACACACGAGGAAACTCTGGAGGGTGCGGGCGGCTCCTGTTGACTACAAAGCAAACACAGAGCACAGGTGAACCTGTCAACCTGCGTCTAACCCACTCTTGGCGCGCAGGCAGTGCAGAGGCAGGTGGTGGACTATGCCGGTCCCCTGGCGACAGCTTGGGGATCCCGAATGGCGTCTGAGTGGAGAGACGTTCAGAGGCCAGTGCAATCTTAAACTATGTGTGGATAGTAATTTAGGACAATTTTAACAACGAATGCGACACTGTTCCTTCCAGAGATAAAAGCCCTAGGAAATAACTAGGACCCTCTGCTTGTTTTACTCTTATTTATCTCAAATTGTGATTCTTCCCTTGGCTAGAAGAGGGCTTAGAAACCTCTAATACCCCTCAAAGTGCAGTAGGCCTGCTCTCTCAGTATGAGGAGGGCAGGTTCCCTTCATCCCACTAAACCAAGATACTTCCCTGGTGGTCTCGACCTCATCAGAGACTCAGGTGTTGAGCTCTTGTCCTGCAAACTTTATTCTAATTTGTTGTTTTAAAGTAATCATGAACTTTTAAGGACCGAGCTCTTGTGAAAAGACCTGCACATTTCTGAGATGGGTGGTCCTGCTTCTCAGGATGCAGTTGTGGCTTTTCCACCTTTGCAGCGAACTCCAAATTACGTGGGTTCTATTGCTAAGGTGTGATTTAAAAATTACTCTGCCTACATAAATCAAATCAAAGCTCACCATGTAAGCATGTAGCTATGAAACATATTTCAGCTTTACCACTTACTCTTTGAAGTATTTAAAGTGTTACTTATGTGGGCTTTTGCACAAATTGGCTTCTAGTTATCACCAAACAAGTTTTAGTGCTGTGGAATTTCACAGGCATTTTCTTGGTTCGGGTTTATCAGCTTTCCACACCCTCAAACCATCTCATACCACTTAGCACTTAGGATTTTTACAGATAAAGGCACAATCAGAAGGATCTTATGTTCTTTAATTCCTTAATTTATCCTTTATAGGGGTAGTCTTTAGATGGACTTATCTGCCATGATCAGATTGTGGGAATAAACAGACAACTGGGGAGGGGGCGTCGAAGGGCTCTGGTCCCGGTGGGGGCAGCTCACTTTCTGTGTTGCCCGGGGAAGCCTCTTCATCTCCCTTTGTCCTTGGGTTCTCCATCAGGGCCCACGCAGGAGGAGTGCTGGAGTCTGCCTCAGCAGGTCCACAGGGGGATAGAATGAAGGGACTCCTAAGAGTGGTGCTTCTCCACTTCGGTGTGGATATGGATTGTCTGGGATCTTGTTAAACTGAAGATCTGATTCCTACATCTTATCAAGCTCCAGATGGTGTCCATGCTGCTGGGCTGGACCACTTTCGGAGCAGTGATGGGCTGTAGAAAAGGGTTTGCGTTCTCCAATGAAATGAGAGGAGGAGGCTCTTTAAAGGCAATGCAGCATGCCTTAGGTGGACTGGAGGAAAAGCCTGACTATGAGAATCCATGGTATACCAGCAGCAGACTTACTCTGCTTTGATCCTGTGCCCTCCCTGCAGTATGGCACCTGAATATTACTCTTGAATATGTGTCACCTAATTATACCCATCTTTTATTGTTATTCAACTGTTTTTTATGTGTATTGCTATAAATTGATAAAATTCTCAGCACAGGGCTATGCACAATTACCTCTATATCCGTGTCCCCGTTACTATTACTGCCTAACACACCACCCCCAAACACAATGTGGTAATCATTTTTATTGTACTCACAAGTTCAGTGGATCAGGAATTGGACCTGGCATGGTGGGGACTTGCCTTTGCTCTCCAATATCTGAGGCCTCACCTGGGAGAGCCCAAACCTGGGTGACTGGACTTATCCTGGTATTTTTCACTGACATAGCTAGTGGTTGATACTGGACCCGAACACCTACATGTGACCTCAATTCCACTGAGGTTATTCCACTGGGTTTGGACATTCTCACAACAGGACAGCTGGGTTCCAAGAGCTAGTGTCCTAAGAAAATACTGAGTCCAACAGTTTTATAACCTCTCACTGCCATAGATGTCAATTCTGACTCACAGTGGCCCTATAGGACAGACTAGTACTGTCCCTGTGGGTTTCCGAGACGGTAACACTTTATGGGATAGCAAGCCTCGTGTGTCATTCCTACTGTACTCTGTAGGTTAAGGCATTCACAGATGTTTTGCCAGGTTCAAGAGGAGTATTTGATAGGGGGATTGTCAAAAGTCTCAGTGTAAGCATACATGGGATGGGAGATATTGTGGGCATCTCTGGCAAATACACAGTACCACAATCCCCAACATATAGCTAATACTCAGCACATGTTGAATCCAGTAAGTATTGAATGGATAATTTAGACCCTGAGGGGGGAGGGAGCACTTTCTAGAACTAATTGTGATTACACAACTCATTTTAAACGTGATTTAACCATGGTGGTGGTAGGGGGATGTTCTAAAATTGATTGTGGTGATGACTGTACGTTTCTTGTCATGGAACAAGCAAGAAATACTTGCACCTAGAAGAATTTCGTGAGCATCTGCCAACATCTTAGCTTTTTTTTCCCCCTTACAAATCTGTATAGACATTTACTTTAAGGGAAGGGGAAAATGTTACTACATAGGCTTTTCAGGTTAAAAAAAAAAAAGACAAAGCACACTGTAGGTGGCACAGTGGTTTTACTCTTTGGGTTTTGATCACCCAGTTGGCAGTTTGAAACCACCAGCCGCTCCTCAGGAAAAAGAATGGACGTTCTACTCCCATAAACACAGTCTGGGGAAAACCCACAGGGGTGCTCTGCGGCAGCATGGACTAATGGCAATGAGTTTATTTGCTTGTTTGTTTTCGTTAGTGTGTACTGGGGCCCTCTGAAATTCCCAAAGCTAGAAATATCTTAGGTCATTTTACAAACTCTTCTCTAGCACAAATGTGATCGTTTTCTGTTGATGACAGAAACTTGTGCCTTAGTTCTTTGGCTGCTGATTTTCATGCTTTGTAATGGCTGTTTGTGATGACTGAAACCCAGAGCAGACCCCTGGTGGGAGTGCGCCCCTGCTTCAGAGATGCTGAGAGCCGTGCTGTCCGTGAAGCCGTGCACTGCCCCGTGTCTGTCCAGTGCAGGGAGCAGGCCGTGCTGATCAGCTTATGCTCCCAGATGACAGGCCCATCGAGCAGACGTTAATCTGCCTTGTCCAACACTTAGAGCTTTGATGCTTTTAAAGGAGACTAGCATCATTTCTGACGGAGCAGTTCCTGCCTCTCGTAAAACAAGTACACTCGGGCTGGTGTGGGACAGTTTTTTTCACTGCCTTCACTTCCTCCACTTCACCAGCACCTCCCTGGCCCAGAAGGCGTGGCCCTCCTGTAAGCTTAGAACAGAACAACTCGGGAGGATTTATGGCAAACCATGGACAGCGATTTGGACCCTCATCAGAGTTCCCTCAAGTCAGCCTTGTTTCAGCGCATGCACCAGTGTGCTCTGCGGGAGGGCGTGTTCGCTCAGAGCAGGCAGTCCTGGCCCTCCAGTGTGGGCCAGCCTGCTACTTGTGCAACGGCTCTCCTCTCCCTGCTGCCCAGCACACAATGACTGAACCGAATGTGACCAAGCTGTTTGTTCACCTTGGAAGCGGCCCTCAGTAGGGCTGCTGGAACTGATCTGGGCCCAGTGCTGCCGAAGCCCCTCTACTGCCAGGCGGTGGTGTCTTTTGTACTAGATGGTTGTACTAGTCCGTGGCCATGGTTCCCATTCTGGGCAGTCGGGAAAACTGGAGCAGCTGGCTGAGCCCATGTGGGCCCAGAACGTTCCTTAAGCAGCATTTAAACAAGTTGTCCTCGTGCTGTGGAGGCGCTGGCTGGTGGGAGAGAGTGCTGTTGGGCAGAGAGGGAGGGCACAGCCGCCCTGCCCAGTCCCATAGCACAGCACACCTGGGATCTTTTCCCGGCTCCGGTCCGTGTCTCCTCCACACTGTGATCAGTCTACCTTTTCTCAATCTTGCTTGTTCCCCTCAGTCTGTAAAAGGGGTCAGGAGTGTTTGAGAGGCACCCCCCCGGATCTGTGCCCTCTGAGTGCTCTCTGGCATTTAGAGCAGTTTGGCTGGCAGGAGACTGGTGGGCAGCAGCAGTGCTAGAGCCCTGCGTCTGGCTCACTTGGATTCAGCCCCAAGGTCTCACAGACTGTTTTCTTTTCCCTGTAGTGCCAGTTACCCCGTGACTATTCAAGGGGTGAGAGTTGGTGGGCTGGCTCACCCATTACCCGCCCTTGGGCCTTGATGAAGACCTTTCTGAGGAGCCCAGGGCTCCCTTCCCTGGGGAGTCCAGGCATGTGGCTTCCCCCATGCTTATTTGGGAGGCCACAAGGCTGAGTCCCTCCTAATCAGACAGTCACCAGATCAGCTCTTTGGAAATATGATGAACATTTTCCACTTTCCCCCAGAGGAGGGACTCATGCCTAGGGCAGCAGCTACCTTGCAGTCATAAAAGGGCATGATACTCGGGCTGATAAAACCCACTGTTGGTCCTGGCTCCTAATGACTCTCTAAGGGTAATAGATACTTTGATGACTTGGAGGTCCTGGTTCCTAGAGGTATACTTGGGTCAAAACTCACGGACTTCCTGATCCAGACCAAGGGCTTTCGAGTACACCATAACACCCTCAGTAACGGGGTATCCCATATCCCACCTCTGTTGAGGCTGAGGTTGGTTCTGGTGCCCCTGCACCCCCTGGGGGTGCACTGGGGGGAGCACACAATAGTGCCATTGGTTACACCCAACTCAGAGCGACCCTATAGGATAGAGTGGAACTGCTCTTTGGGTTTGAGACAGCCTCATCTTTGTGCCTCAGAACAGCTGGTAGATTTGAACTATTGACCTTACAGTTAGCCTCGGTAACCCACCAAGGCTCTTTACAGACTATAAAGCATTGCGATTTGAGGGTAAGAGGAACTAAATGTCTAAAATCTCAGGAAACTAGAAATTCTGCCTATTAGACATAATGTATAACAGTAAATGTCTTTTTATCTCCCACACACAGCATCCGAAGCCAGTGGGATTCGTCTTGGCTCTTACAATCAGTAGAGCAGTGGTTTTCAACCTATGGGTCGCCACCCCTTTGGGGGTAGAACCACCCTTTCTCAGGAGCCACCCAATTCATAACAGTAGTAAAATGACAGTGATGAAGCAGCAGGAACTGTATTAAAGGGTCGAGAGGCATGAGCAAGGTTGAGAACCGCTGCAGCAGAGGCTGGTGGAGCGATTTAACCACACCCAGGGCAGGTCAGCAGCACATGCTCAGTAACTTAAATGGATTTTTTTTTGGAGACCACGGCCTTCAAACTGCCTGCAGTTATTTCCACAGAAATGCCACAGCACAAGTTACTTAGAGCTAATTGGATCTCTGAAGTGTTCAGATGCCACAGATATGGTAGGGAGCAACTATTTTTAAGTAGGACCACAGGAAGTGTATATGCTTTTTCCAGAACTGATCCAATTCAGTATTTTTTGTTCACAAAATGCATTGTTTTGTCACGGAGTCGGTACCAACTCATGGCAACCCTCTTTGGATTAGGGGACACTGCCTGCTCCGCACCGCCCACTGCTGCAACCACTGTGTCCATCCATCTAACTGAGGGACTGCCTTTCTCACTGGCCCTCTGCCGTGGTCGCCTGCTGTTCATAGGGTTTTAGTGGCTGGGCCTTCCGAAGCGGACCACCTATTCCTTCTCTGTAGTCTCAGTCTGGAAGCGCCACGGAAACCTGGTCACCACGGGTGACCCTGCTGGGACATGAAATGCCAGCGGCCCAGGTTCCAGCACCACAGCAACACGCAAACCACCACTGTGCCACCAAATGATAGACAAGTGATGGGTTACATACATCACATAATACTCATTTGTATACCTTTGTAAGGTTTCTATTTTAGAATTAGGTGGGGGGAGCATCCTAGCTGGGCAAGTGGGCAAGAAAGGTATGAAGGGGAAAGAACATGTTTTGGGGAAGACCTGAAACACCCACCCACCCCCAATCACCAGGGACCACCTTCAACATGAACAGCCAGCTTGTCGTTCAGGAACCAAACCGTTGGGCAGGTTTCTGTTTCCCCCTCTTCCTGAGATAGGATGGCTATTTCCTCTTAATGATCGCCAGAGAGTTAGCTGTACATTGATTTTCCGTATTGGCCTCTTAGACTACTTTTCCTACCTGTTAATCGATAGGAAGTGATTTGTCTACATCCTTGAGAAAGAATGCATGCTATTATAGAAAATGATTTCGCAACCCTTTCCCCTTCCCACTCCACAAACCCTGTAGAGACCTGCAGCGAATCGAATCGATGCCATTTAAGGTACTGACAGGTCTCTATTTTGCAGGAGGAGACTATAATTTGTGATTCCTTGGCGGAAGGCAAAAACAAACACCCCACTCCTGTCTTGCTTCCAAGGATGCAAGTGTGATTACCGGCGTCTTCATGAGCTCCAGAGGCCACAGCACGCTACCACGGACTCTCATGGCCCCGCGGATGGTGTCCGAGGGGGACATAGGAGGCATCGCGCAAATCACCACCTCCCTCTTCCTGGGCCGAGGCAGTGTGGCCTCCAACCGGCACCTCCTTCAGGCTCGTGGGATCACCTGCATCATTAACGCTACCATTGAGATCCCCAATTTCAATTGGCCCCAGTTTGAGTATGTTAAAGTGCCTGTGGCCGACATGCCTCATGCCCCCATTGGCCTGTACTTTGACATGGTGGCCGACAAGATCCACAGCGTGAGCAGGAAGCACCGGGCCACCTTGGTGCACTGTGCGGCAGGGGTGAGCCGCTCGGCCACTCTCTGCATCGCTTACCTGATGAAGTACCACCGCGTGTGCCTGCTGGAGGCGTACAACTGGGTGAAGGCCCGGAGGCCCGTTATCAGGCCCAACGTAGGCTTCTGGAGGCAGCTGATAGACTACGAGCGCCAGCTCTTTGGGAAATCGACAGTTAAAATGGTACAGACACCTTATGGCATCGTTCCAGATGTTTATGAGAAGGAGTCGCGCCACCTGATGCCTTACTGGGGAATTTAATGCCACCAAAGCCTGCATCAGCGGCCCCTGGAGCAGTCTCAGCACCTGCCATGCAACGGCTGCTCCCCTCCTCCTCTTAGTCAAATGGGCAACTTCCGGTTCTCCCTAAGTGATTTTTACACTGGGTGTTCAGATTTATTTTAAGAGCTAGGAGGGAGGGGAGGGACAAGGGGAATGCATACATTGCTAGTACCATTTTTTAAACTAACATTTTGGATAGTGTTTATGAAAATCTTTAACTGGCTTTTAATCATTTTTAACCATTTGAACAGTTTATAAACTGTTGAGTTTTGCATTCTCTGGAATCCCAGGTCTTTCTGCACCACTGCAGGTGCGGGAAGAGAGTCTTGAAAACCTCTTTCTGTGGGCCCCTTAACCCCCGTAGAGACCAGCTTTGCTCCAGGCTGCTGCCCAGACCTGCTTAGGGAAGATGGATACCAGCTTCAGTCTCTACTCGTTCGGCCTTACTCTTTCCTTTTCCCTCTCTTATTTAGTAACTGTTTAGTCAAAATAAGTAAACCTTTGTTATTTAGCTGTTAAGAAATCACAATGAATCTGCTGCAAAAAACCCTCTTGGAATCAATGTATCCCAGGATTATATTAGCATTATTTTTAATAAATATATCTGCTTAACGTATCGGCATTTTGATTCATCAGAACGGCAGTGTGTGTGATGGAGGAATATGGCTGGCAGATGAAGAACGCTGCAGAAACGCAGCTGGATCCCGTCAGCCCTCCTGGTGCCCTTTCCTTGGTGGCCCCAGCAATGAGGCCCCTGGGAGCTCCCTAGCTCACTCCTGACTCCCTCGTAGGGGAGCCGCTGCCACAGCACTTCATTGTTCCTTTGTGGGAGGGGTAGTACTCTGCTTACTCATGGGATAATTTTGGGGGGGTGGTGGTGGGAGTGTTATATAGGGGGCTCTTTATGGCATGAGGCAACAACTAGAATGCTAGTAGCTGCAAATCAGTTACATCCCAGGTTTTACCGGGGATGGTGGCAGTGTTTCTCAGTATACATTTTGGCCCACTTTTATTAAACAGAGTTGCCTAAATAGGGAAATTAGAATAAAGTTATGAATAGTTTTTATGGGAAATCAGGAACTCTCAAATGCTGCATCGACATGATCAAAAGCAGTTGAGGAAGCTGCCTCTAAGTCTGGTGGTGCAAGTGGTTTGGGATCGGCTCCTAACCCCAATGCTGGCCGTTTGAACGCAGCCAGTGACGGCGGTCTTGGTAACGGGAGTTTCCTGGAGCAGTCCTGGTACACATACTGGATGTGACGGAGTGTTCTAAGCACTTGGGGAGCCTTACGCCTTAGGCTTTTCAGTTGGAGGGTTTTGGCCCCTGCTCCTGTGATGCGCAGCTGCAGTCCAGTGAGGAAAGGCCTGCATGAAAGCCCAGAAGCCGAGAAGCTCGTTTCTGCCTCACTCTCAGTGGGGTCTTGGTTAGAACAAGCTAAACACTGAAAATAGTTTACAGGCTAACCGTTAGCATGTCTGAACGTGCCACGGAGGGCCAATGTTTATGAAATAAGTAAAACCTTAAAATACACATGCTAACTTTCTCTCAACACAAAAGGTACCCAGCCCACATAGGTTAATACACCACAGCTACAAAATAATGAGGCTTCCCTGTCCCATGAATACTTGAAGTCACATGATGATCACATAAAAAAACAAATAATGGGATCAAGTAACACGTGTTCTAATGATGTTTCTGTTAGACAAGTGTTTGTAAAGTGGCATCTTCACCAGGAAGCTGGGCTTGGCCTCGCGAGGAGCTTCACCACATTGCTCTCTGGCGCACACTCTTCCAGAGAAAAGCTACATAATGAAAGCAAAACCCATCCCGCCCTTGCCCTCAACAGTTGTGAGACGACAGATAGTGCCCAGTATAAGCCTTCTGAACAGCAAGTGTCTTTGAAAGTGTCAGCACCTTCGTGAGTTGGTCACGAAGGACGGCTATGACAGAAGGTGTTGGGGAAGGGGTTTGTTGTGGGCCCTACTGCACAGCAGGTGCCCCAAATTTTCTGTAATAAAAAGGCCGTGTAATCTTTCCAAACATGAAATTAGGAAACATCTCTAAACAAAACAAAGAACTCCTGCACAAAACGATTTCCAAGATGCAACCTTTATGGAAGGGGAAAAACCCTCGAACCAGGGCGATCAAACCCTAATATACCCTGTACCTACCTCTTCTAAAACATGTCCAGACAAAAACTGCACACCAAGTTCTAATATTTTAAAAGGCAAAATACAATATCAAAAAAAGGGAAAAGTGTTCCTTAATCGCAATACTCAAGCCATGGGGTGAAGCTGCCTAACACAATACGTGGTATGGAAATAAGTAACCTTGGTTACTGTTTCCAAGGACACTGGGCTCTTGGCTAACAGGAGAGGGGGTGAAGCTGAATGTAATACTGAGTCATTTTAATGAACATGTACAAATAAAACCAGCACAATGATATCCCACACTCCGAATCCTTATTGGTCGGACATCAGGACATTCCCCTCGTTACACAGATATACAACGGAGTAAACACTCTTCTTCGCAAAGGCTTTTTGTTGAGGTCTGCTGAATGTTCATTCTGGCACCTTTTGCGGAAGGACTAAGCCTATCACACAGGTCAGCAGACATTTTATTTGAGGCATTCTGGAATTGACGCAGGAATGTGAACCAACATGGTCAACAGGTGAGCACGTAATTTAAAATGTCATTGGTACAGGCCACTGTCACTGAAGAACAATTCATAAAGCATTTGCAAAACAAAACAAACCCCCCTCAACATGTCAGGGAGACAGGAAAGGGGCAGATCGTGCTATCATGACTCCATTGTGGGATGTGAAGCTGATCAGAAACCTGCTTGGAGTCTGTCCGGTGTCATGAGAAACCCTGGGGCCGGTAGGCATGGAGCATATCTCCGAGGTGCCAGCGAGAGCCTGCTGGAAACCAGCCTCCCGGGTTGTCCACACCCCACGCTGCCTGTGGAGGAGGGGAGGGCCGAGCCTGCACAGTGGCCATTCAGAGACCGCTGTCTCAGTGATCTACAGCAAGTACGAAAGAAAGCGATTTATGCCATCAGCACTTCCTGGTGCATCTCTGCATCTCGGCACCTGACAGGTAAAGGAGGAGCCTCATCAAGAATGGCTTAATGAACTGTGCGCACCTTTCCTGGAGAAGAGGGATGCAAGAAGTCTAAGAGGGGCCAAGGCAGTAGTCCCTCAAGTCCGGTCCTGAGAGGAAACTAATGATGTTCAAGCAACAGGTATGTGGGCAGAACCACCTTGTCGTCCGGCTCACAACTGAAACCATGTCTAAGGCCGACAGCCCAAAGTCTCCCAAAGCAAACACGTAAGATTCAGGATCTCTTCACAGAGCACATACTTGACATTTGGAGAAATAGTTTTCTAACATTGGGATGTCCTTCCAACTCTGTCCTCAGTCTGTTCACATTATGCCCACACCCTCCTGATTTTATGCATTGTTTAAATCAATTATAAAAATGATTACTCTAGAATTAACACATATATAACAGTTCAGCCAGATCAAGAAGGGTTGTGCACAAGAGCCAACTCTGGGACCTTTTCTTCCCGCTTGTGTCCACTGACGTTAAAGCACTCAATTTTGATGGCAAGACCCTTCCCTACACCTCACCTGAAAGTCAGGGCCATTTCTGAGAACCCCCCCCCCCCCACTGCTTCTAAATCACGCACCTCTACTGTCAACGGACATCTTACCATTCTCCTCACAGGGCCGGGAACTCCATCTTCTAACCCTGAATGGATTTCCAGCTCTTCTCAGAGAGACTGCACAGACAGGCAGTGTTGGTCTTTCTACGGTTCTCTGTGGAGATTTGGAGAGAAACCCCTGAAAAGGTATTTCAGCCCGTTGTCTTTCCACACCTTATCTGAAAGCCCTCCCTGTTCCCTGTCTGTGGTCTGTGGGAGGTCAAGCAGGCGGCTGGTTTTGAGTCAGGGCGCCTAAAGGAAAAGGCCTGCCAACCTGAGACGCCAGGGCTGGGGTGCTCTGTAAAAGGAACTTCCTTTTCTCCTGCAAAGCTACTGTGGATGTTGAGGGAAGATATTTCCTTGAGCCTTGACAGTTTTAGAAGTGAAGGGGAAAGATGTAATTGGTTCGGCTGAGACAGTGAAGTTGAGAAATCTGCCTACACCCACCAGCCATGGTCCAATGGCGAGAAGTGGACATTTCCTACAAAAAGATAGGACCACGTGTTTCATCACATTTCCCCCTTTTTATTCATTTCATACAGTAACAAACTAAGTAAAGAGGAATGCATCCTACTTCACAGGAGAAGAAGTGTCCTAGTTATAAATAAGCACTGGCTTTGAAGCAGTTTTGCCAGTTCCAGTTCGACAATAATTTAGTTTTCTTCAAATGTCAATTCTTCACAGTTTCAATACTGCAGCAGCAATTGTTCCTTAGATAAAAGACACAGTGGTCCATGTTCTAAAATATCCTATAAGAACTACTGATACGACAGTCAACAAGTTTCTGGTGCCACATGCATCTTGGGAAGGGTGCTTTTATCTCCCTCAAATCCCAAAGGCTGGCAGTGGAAACTAGGGGGCCAAGTTTGCCTGCAGGAATGACACACAGATCCCCCGCCGCCCTGCCTTTGGGGAATTCTTCATAGAAATGGGCTTCGGAATCAGTACTTGAATTCTATTAATTTGGTCCTTGTCATGCCCTGGGGTGTGATGGAAACACAAAACAAAACAAAAACTGGTTGGTGCTTCAGAGGGGAGCTTTTCAGAGCAAATCAGGAAGGATAAGACCAGGAGGTTTGGGTTCAACGCAGTTGATCCAGAAGTTGGCACAGCTGGCATGATATTGGTGCCCTCCATATGCCAGCTTGAAATTGTCTGTTTCTGAGTTGAATGCCTGCCAGACATAAACAGAGAGGAGGGGCAGTCAGACTTATGCACCAAAATGCTCACCAGCGACCAATACAGACGGAGTCGGCTCTCTCCAGAGTCTGAGGGCAACGTGGCGCGCGCACAGAAGCTGGGCAGGTGGCTACAGGTACCCAAGGGAGAATGTTTTTTGCTACTGAATTAAAGACACAGAAACTTTTACCATTAAATCCAGCTTCAGCAGAATAAAGTAAAACTGTTCTTAGAAAAGGCAGACAGAGCCTATAGTGGGTGGGGCAGTTCATGACACAGGGACTGAAACTGCCACGGGCCATCTATCTGTGAGTTTCTCCCTCATTGCAGAGAAAGCTTCGTTCCACCAAAGGATTATAACATGTAATCCCTTAAATGTCTTCATTTATTCCAATTTCTATGGCCAATGACCATCCTATGATCAAAGAAAAGTTGTAAGAGAATTAGAGAGCAACAATACAAACTCGTGAGGGTCTAATGCCAGAGGGAGCTGATAACTAATATGGCACAATTAAGAAGTTCACACAGGTATGGGATTTATAAAAAAGGAAGGAACAGCCAATACCTATGAATTAGCTCCCAGGGAGTAATGCTTCGGGGTCGACTAGAGTGAGCCAGGGACCAGTGGTCCAGACCTCAGCCACTTCCGCATTACAAATATATAAAGCAAAACGGAAACAGAAACAACTGGGTTCTGTCTGTTGGAGAATCCATACCCTGAAACCATCTAGCTCTCTGATCCTACTCTGTGGGCCCATCTACAACTTCCAGAAGTTGCTCACTCTGTTACCCTGTTCCTCACAGAGGAAGAGAAGTGCGCGGCCAGAAGCCCAGGACGTGAATACAGGCATGCAAACAAAGACAGGAGTGATCCACAAAGACATGTTAGTCCATCAAATCAAACATTATGGGAACAGAAATGACTTCCCAAAAGATTCATGATTGGAACAGTTCAGAAATGGCAGCGGAATCATCCGACTTGCCTTTCACAATCAAAATTAAGATGGAGACGCTAAGGTGATGTGTAACTGGTTCATACTTTTTTAGGATGTTCCTCTGCAGGCTTCTCTTCTTTCTGAAATAACGTTGAAACCATAGGGTCAACACAATCTCAGCACAGGGCCTCACGCCTCCAAACAAATCCTTCTCGGTTGACCCTTTTCTCCTTTTTACACCCCCACCGGGCCCAGGGCTGCGGGCCCAATGCCAACACTGCTTGTTAGAAACAGGACGATGGCCCTTCCCCACTGCCCGGAGGAGAGAACTGGCTCTGGGGCCTCACACAATCCCACCTCTGGTCCCAGACCTGGCAATGGCGTGGGCAAGCTGAGGCGGCCTTCTAGATCCTGTTTGAGAATTGCCCTGCCACTGGCAAGAGGTGTGTGTGCCACTTACCCGGCTCCTGGAGTCCACGTTCAGCAGGCACACCCCACAGGCCAGTTCCTGAGCGTTTTTGATCCCAGGACGCAGCATGCAAGAGGAAAAATCCAGCGAATTTTCATCTGGCTGTGAGGATGACAAGACAAATGGGGAGGATTTCAGTGATTCCGAATGCTGCTGGCTTCATCTGCGGGCCACTCATCCCCTGGGGGTCCAGCTGCATCGCCAGTACTACCACGCAGTTTCTCACCCACTTACGCTCTGGGTGCTAGGGATGCAGGCTTGATCAAGAAAGGGGCCCTGTCTTCAGAGAGCTCAGTCTAGCGGGGGGAGCTGCATGGCTGTCAGGTGATTCAACACAGGGCCACTGGAGTCATCCATTCTCGGGGCTTCAGAACAGGGTGGCCAGGGACCGCGGGTAGGGGGCAAGGAGCTTACAGTTTGAGAAGACTTCCTAGAATCGATGAGTATATTGGTTGAATTCTGATGTACGCTAGGAAAAGAGGTGGAGTGGACTGAGATGGGGAGGGAGAACAAGCAACACAGACCGTGACCTCTAAGCAAAAGACCAGGAGTGAAAGCAGCAAGCTAGGGGGTGAGAGGGAAGCTTACTCTAGAGCAGCGGTTCTCAACCTTCCTCATGCCATGACCCTTCAATACAGTTCCTCATGTTGTGGTGACGCCCCAACCATCAAATTCTTTTCGTTGCTACTTCATCACTGTCATTTTGCTACTGTTATGAATCAGGTGACCCCTGTGAAAGGGTCGAGATCCAAGGGTGAGACCCGCTGCTCTAGAAGAAGTAGACCACGAGGCTTTCAGAGGACTTGCAGAGATTGAGACTTTCTCCTGGGAGGTTCTGAATGGAGCCAGACAGGGTTAGGTTTGTAGTAGTTGGGCAGATGCCTCTGGGTGTAGCATAAGCCAAAGGCACGAGCTGTGTTTTTAGAAAGCGGGTGCAGCAGTGCAGGTGAGGGACACGGAGGACCAGAACTAAGGTAGCAACCGTGGTGAATGGAGATAAATGAACACATGTACGAGAAGAGGTATTGAGACAGTATCACCAAAGGACTGAATCACCTGTACCATGTGCATGGGGCAGAGAGGCTAGGGCAACAGAGAATTCATGTGGGTGGGATGTGAGAGGCGGGTCAGGTTTGGGGATGGAGTGAGCCTGGGGAGAGGAGTTCACTTTTCTACAACTGGGACAGCTGAGTTCAGTTATTAGGTGTAAGTGGGCAGTTGGATCTACAGGCCTGGTGCTCAGGAGGGAGGGATTTAGAAGTCGTTAAGTATAGATATAAATAATAACAGCTAATAAGTCCGGCCCTTGCCTGTGCTAAGCTCTATGCTAAGTACTGTATGTGGATTATCTAACCTCTTCCTTACAATCAATCTGAAATCTGGAAAGTACAGCATCGTGATTCAGAAGGCAGGTACCAATGTCGGGAAGTTCAGTTATGGTACTTACAAGTTAAATACATGGCTACTCTGTAAGCCGGCAACTCCACACCTAGATTTATTGAAGAAGAACAAACAATATGCCCACAAAAACGTCTTGTACCAAAAACGTCCATAGCAGCTTGACTCCCATTTGCCCACACTGGCAACAACACAGTTGTCCATCAACAGAAAAAGGAGACACACAAACAGTGGGATAGCCACGCAGTGGCACGTCCCTCAGCAAGAAAAGGCACTGAACTACCAACACATCGACAACACTGAGGAAATTCGACTACACAACAATTGGGAGGATGGTCTCCCAGGGGTGGGCCGGGCTTCACTCTGTTGCACAGAGGCCTCCTCTTTATTCGGTGGGGCAGCTGGTGGGTAGAACCGACCGAGCAGTCAGCAGTCCGATACTTACCCGGCACCACAAAAATATCCCACATCACCATGGGGCAGCACAGATGCATTTCAAATCTTCACTTTTCTTGGCTGATCAGGTAATCGTGCTCAAGCACAAACCCTGAAGAATGCAGCCTTCCTCATGTCATGAGGAATGTGATGGCTACACACACAGCACACCTTTAAGTCACTCTACGTTCTTACCACGTTCTCCATCACTTTCTTAAGCCTAGACAATCAACAAAGCAATGCTCAAGGCCAGATCTGTGGCACTTGTGGACTTCCATCGTGCAGCTACTCCCACCATGACTTTCAAGTCACTAGTGTGACCTCACTTGGGAAGAAAGGCCAGTGGCACCATTACAGACCATTTCTACGCCAAGGAGACCAACGGGCCCAGTTTGCCCAGGACAGTCCTGGTCTCAGCACTGTGAGCCTCATGTCCAGGGACATCCTTCAGTCTCTAGCAAACCAGGCAGTTGGTCACCTTGCCTCCTGGAACCTCTAAGGGAGGATCTGTGTTCCTGCTTTTGCCAACATCTAGAGACCACCTGATTTCTTAATGTGGTCCCATTTTCCATCTTCAAAGCCAGAAGCATTTTATAATCTCTTTGCTTCCGCCATCACATCCCCTTTCCTCAGCCTTTGTCTCCTGCCTCCCTCCTGCCTGTGACTGACTACATGGGGCCCACTCAGATGCTCATTTCAAGATCCTTAGCTGTAAGCACATCTGCAAAGTCCCCTTTTACCGTGGAGGCTAACATAGCCACAGGTTTCAGGGATTATAGTGTAGCCATCTTTGAAGCATCATTGCTCTACCTACAACATTTCTCTTCTCTCAGCTGAGGGCAACCGTGCAAACCCTGGTGAAGATTTTGTCTCTAAAACCTGGTGACAATTAGCAAAATGACAAAAAATGGCATCCTTATTGAAAAATAACCTGCTCTGCCAGTATGCCACAGAAACAGGAAGTCTCCTGAAATGCACCACTGAATTCAAGTTGGAAGGTGGAACAAAAGCATTTGTACTGTACTGAGGATAATGCTGGAATCTAAGAGCTTGTGTGATTTTCAGTGTACTAGAGATCTGGTAGTATAGTGGGTACACACTGGGCTGCTGGCCGAAAGGTCAGCAGTTCGAAACCACCAGCTGTTCCAAAAGAGAAAGACGAGGCTGTCTACTCCCATAAAGAGGTGTAGTCTTGGAAAACCCACAGGGGCAGTTCTACTTTGTCCTACAGGGCCGCTAAGGGTCAGAACTGACTTGTTGGCAGTGAGTTTGGTGAATCTTGGAAAGATCAGTAGTGTCAAAACTCCTCTTTTCTCAGATCTTATATGGCAAAATGGATTCGATTTGATTTTCAGGATCGACCTTTTCTTTGTTCCAAGCCTCCTGCACTTTAATTTACATTCACAAATAAAACCTTACATAATAATTCACTTAGGAGCTGACAGACAGAGCACAAGATGTCCTATGAAAATAGATGAGTCTTTCTTCTTGAGAGACTATTCCTCTGCCAGAACCCAGAAGAGACAGTCTTCTACCACAAGAGGGAGTCTGAGTCCTTGAGTGAGTGTGGGTCAAGAACCCTTTGTGTCTCTCTCTCACAACCCTTTCACAGGGGTCGCCCAATTCATAACAGAGGCAAAATTACAGTGATGAAGTAGCAACGGAAATAATTTTATGGTCGGGGGTGCAGGTCACCATACATGAGGAACTGTATGAAAGGGTCAGGGCACAAGGAAGGTTGAGAACCACTGCAACGGGTAAAGGGACTATGGATGGCAAAGCGTGCTTTGACGCTTTGCCAGTGGAACTTCCAGCTTAAAGAGCTACTTAAAACGAGTTGTCATGGAGTCAGCTCCAACCCCTGGCGACCCCACATGCACCAGAACAGAATTTCTGGGCTTAGCACCATGGCTGTGAGGCAGCACTCTTGTCTGGAAAAAGAAAGGCAAATGCCTTTCGATGTGACTCGCTTCATGGGGTCGTCATGGGAAGAAGCAAGGCTCTTTCTGCCCCTTGGAAGCTGGGAATGACACTGTAGGCAGGAGAATAGCTTTTGAAACTCTGGCTTTGGACTCAAGTCTCACAATTTGTCAGGTTCAGGCAGGGTTATCTTCCTTGAGCCTAATTTCTTCACCGGCAAAGAGGGAGAATGTACTCCTGACCTTAAAGGATTGTAACCAAGATTAAATAAGAATGAATTGAAAGCATATAGCACAACAACCAGTAGGTGCCAGGTGCAAAATAAAAAATAATTATTGCTATCAGCATTATCAGAATCAAGAAGACTGACAGTGGCATTTTGGTATTCAAAAACTTATCGACCAAAAAACAAGCTATGGTGTGAAGGGCAGCTTCGTATACAACTGTAATCATACCTCTCGGGTTATAGTGCCCATGTTGGGGCCTCTATAATGCAGAGTACCTGGAGTCTGTTGACTGTGCTACAGCTGAACTGAAACACAGATGTTGGTTGTATGTGGCGGTGGTGTGGAACAGAACCTGCTTCAGAGCTCTCACACCTGCACAGAACAACACTTACACATCGGATGGGTTACCAAACCCAAACGGCTCTCTTGAAAACTAACAAAACCAAATTCCATGGCTTCTTTACAAAAGCCTGGGCAAAAGTAATCCTTGGTAAGAAAAAAAGTAATTGTGCAGGGACTGCCTCTGTGTTGCGTGATGCCTAAGAAGGAACATGAGGGAACGTTCTAGAATAAAGAAAATACTCTGTATCTTGCCAGAGGTGTGGTTATACCCACTCAACTCATCCATTTGTGCATTTACCTCGCTTCTTTAGGTGAGATTGTACATACACTTGTTGCTTTAGGAAGCAAGTGTTCCAGAAGTAGAATTACTGAGTCAACTATTCTGAACTTTGAAAAGTTAGAATCCCGTTAATGCACTTAACTTTTACTGGGTGTTCATGCAGTGGCCAGCACTATGTTCAGACCAAGAGCCAAAAGATGAACGAAGTGTGGTCTTGGTCCCTGCCCTCAGGAGTTCAGTGTTACGCGGTAGCACATCATCAAACTCTTTCCCCAAGGGGGTGGTACCAATTCTTACTCCCTTCTTAACAGCTCACCTTTTACCACAGCATTGTGATTCAAACCGCCCAAACAAACAGAAGTTTGGCCAGGTTAAAAGTCAAAATTTTCTTTTCATGTGAATTAATGTTTACCTGGTGAGTTATGCCTTCTCTTTTATGAATTCCTGTTCTCACTGGACTGTTGCTGTAGTATTTATTGATTTGGATATTTTCTTCGCAA